CGTTATGGCTATTTAAAATCATAGATCAATGCATATTTTTATAATATATATTATTTTGAATTTTTCTTTACTATTTTGTTTGCATTAAATAACATATTATATTATCAAGGATTTTGTTTTAATTATATTATGAAATGTTGTACTTACTAATTTTTCAAGATGTCCTTTTTGATCATTTTACATTTTTCATCAAACTTATCAATTAGTTTTTACCAAATATGATTTATTCATCAGCTAGTTTATCAGTTAGTTTGTCAAACATGACCTTAGATGTAGAAAGAATGTACTTATAGAGAATATGCGAAGATAAGTTTGTTACCGTTAAGGCTTTCACCATATCCTCCCTTGAATGAGCAGCAGAAATACATATACGTGCTCGAGCTAATAATAGAGGGGTGGCTGGAAAAGCAACCGTCACAACCGCTACCTGTTAGTAGTAGTCAATCACAAATCATCATCTCTTTCACGTCACGTTTAGCAAACATAAGTTAACTTATTTTTTGAGCTTATTGAAAAAGTCTCATTTGATAAGTCATAAGTTATTAAGCTATTTTTTTGAAAAGTTACTTTAGATTGTTCATTGGGGCTTTTTCCATTTTTTTCTTCTAATTATGCAACTTATATTTTATATAAATCCCACAATTTTCTTCTACAAAAAATGACTAGTTTATTAGCTAACAACTAGATTATGGACTATTTGGTCAGTTTTCTATTAGAGCATCTCTAATGGAAGTTCTTGTAAGGACCAACTTCTTCTACTTTTTCTTGCTACATCATTTTCATGTCATTAAATTAAAAATCTATATAAAACTCCACAATGGTAGTTCTTAGTAGAACTGCTATATAGGCTCCGTTTATTTTTTTAACATCAATTTTATAAAAGAACTATTAAAGCCAAAAATATACAAAAAACTATGAAAATGTCAGTTCACACAAACATCAATATAAAAACCAGAGTTCTTGTACAAGAACACAAATAATGTATCTTATAAGAACTTTCTCCAATGGTAATTCTTGTAAGAACCTACCATTAGAGAAGTTCTTAACTCATATAACTGTCTGTGTGAATTAATCTGTCTATATAGATCAGAAATTTTTTTTGTTTGGAAGAAGTTTTTCATAGATATAATTTTTCAAGTAGGAGGGAAAGGTTTTGGGAAAAAATTGGCTTTCTACATAAAACTCTCCCCTAAAAGCTTACCAAATAAACCACTTTTTAGATCATTAAAACCCTACCAAATAAGCCCGTTAAGCTTGCCAAACATAGCTTTCATAGAAGAAAAAGAAGCAAATAGAATGATTCTACAAGGAAGGAGAAATGAAACATACCTTCTGCTTTAGGCACTCCCTTGAAAAGGCCGGAATTTTTGCAGGATTATAAAGCATTATAGGCATTACAGGCGAATCGTTATCCCCTAGAACCTCAAACCCCATTTTCTGCAGCTCGGACCTAAAATAGTTGCTGTTTTCCCGAATTTGGGCGAGCTTTTGAGCCCCTACATTGGACACCAATGGCAGTCAGAAATCTGTGGAGAAATATGTGCAGTAACATTTAGGGGCCATTTACCCAAACATTTACCCGGTAATCACCTATCAAAATAGTATCGTATGCAACAATTTATCCGGTAAGCTTTTATCAGGTGAGATTGTAATACTTCAAAACGATATTGTATTCAACAATTTACCTTACCAGGTAAGAGTCATTACCCAAACTTACCGGGTAAAACTCTCTATCCTTATCATTACTAAGATTCTCGACCCTTGCCATGTTTATCCAGCAAGGTAAATGACCCAGTAAGCGTTTGGTAAGCGGCCTTAAGATTTATAGTCAAGGGAACAAATTAACATCTAGTTATAGGATTTACTGACCTCTATTAGAGCCATCCTCTCCAAGAATAACCTTTATGGCAGATAAAATTTGCTCAGCAGAAGGAGGTGAGATTGACGTGGCATATATATGTGCAGGGCAAGTGTACTTCAAATATTGAATTAGTTCCTGAGATGGAAATAAAAAACTAAAAGAGATAAAATGCCCGTACGTTTGATTCATGTAACACGATATACGTATAATTGATGACGGTTTACAAAGGAAATGGTAACACAAAAAGGAAAAAAAAATTATAAAGCAAAAGTAGCATACCATTAGTTAGAGATGCACAAGACCCACGATTTTTAGGCCCAGGACTGGGCTTTTTGGGCTTAATCAGACTTTTCCAGGCCTTATTAGGTCGGGCTTTTCTGGGCCCGGTCCGTACCCAAAATTTTGGCCTAATCGGGCTTTGAGGCCCAGGGGCTGAGGGCTTCCGCTTGGGCTTTTTGTACATCTCTACTGTTAGTCATGATATAAATGGCTATTAACACATGCAAAACAAGGTAGCCTAGGTACGCGAAGCATCGTGTGAGAATGAATAGTTAAGGTGAGAGGTGTAAGAAGGATCAGGACCCTTGATCACCTTTAATCTCAAACTCACTCATAAATCATGTTTGATACAGGGATTGGTCCGGTGCATCTCATCCTAATGTAGATCCAAGGGTGTGGAGATCCCTTCTTACGCTTCTCATTTCAACTCTCCTCAATGGAACTCAACCCAGCCTAGGTAAATGTCTATGTTGGTAAATGATTGTGCCAATGTTTGGCAAACTAGTTGATAAGCTAGATGTTGACTTAGTTGACTTATAAATCAGTTGTTAGCCGATATACTAGTCATGTTTGGTAAAAACTAGTTGATAAACTAGATGATAATGCAAAATAACCTAAAAGGACATGTTAAAAAATGAAGTGGAAAAAGATAAGTGGCATAATTGGCTTATATGTTTCTACATAATAGGGCAGGCATGAAGACAAAGTGCAGAGAAGTAACAAAACATGTCATTACAAATCCCAGCAAACAAAGGCATCAGAAGTTTATTGATTACTAGAGACCCACATGATAAAAATATAAATTAGAAGCATGATGGTTGTCAATTAATCATATACCTCACCTGATTAAGCATAATCTTCCACTTGGCTGTAAGAAAAACCAAGGATTCCATTTCTACAGAAAGCAGTCCTAAGAGGTTGAAAAAGATAGAGGTGAAACAAACCTTGGATCCTGCTATATAACCACCGCATGATCCAAATGATTTTGTGAAAGTTCCCATCATCACATCTACATCAGCGGTATCCACGCCTAAAAGCTCGCAGACACCTCTTCCTGTTTTCCCAATTGCACCAATACTGTGAGCTTCATCCAAATAGACGTATGCCTGCAGCATATAGAAAGAAAAAATAAGAACAGTCTGTAGCACATTGGCATCCAAATGAAATCCGACTCCTAGCTGTCTCTTTCTATCTGTGATTTGTCTGTGCCATGTTCTGTTATCTGTTTATTGCCCATATGTTAAATTTTAGTTCAATCACCAATTTAATCATCCTTTCTCAAATTAGAAGTGGTTATATGCTATTCTGGTATTCGATCTTGCAGTTCCCTAGATTCGATACTTGTGGTTATCACAACCTTTAACTTGAGGGACTAATGTCATATAAATGAAGAGTTGCAAACAAGTACAACATATACATAAGAAGACTTTTGGACTTATGCATGCATGAAAAGGAAATAGTAGGCACTCTAAGTTTCTAGCATTAACTGTAATTTGGAAATTCTAGTTGCTTCCAATACCAAGTCTAGGATATTAGTATCAACTGACAAGATCACTTTAAACCAAACCCACAATTTCAAGGTTTAAACACCATAAACTTTGATTGAGATACCTATCGTTTGAGCACAGAAAAGAAAAAGGTTTTCTGAATGAAAGCACCACACATTTATGAGCATTAGAGTATAAAAGGAAGGCCTCCAAAATGAAGCGGCCCTCACCCATTCTTTATAGTGTTTATGTACAAAAATAGGTATTATGTTTTTCTTAGTCCTTATTAACCATGGTATCCGACACATCTGGCCTAATTAGTTTACAAGGTCCATGCAAATTGGTTCCTCGTATCAACTCATGGATCGAATACCAGATTGTGCAATGCGAACTTGAGGTCTCTTCAGTCAAGGTTCCAACCCTTACCCACTATGCCAACCCCAATATTACTTGGGCACTATAATTACATCCGCTCAATATAAAGATGTATCTATAATAATGCCAACCCATATACATTGAGCATAATTATATAGAAAAAAATGAAAAGAAAACCAAAGATAAGAAACAACTGAAAATTGGGATCACGCTAAAATGAGATATGCAATTCCATTTAATATCAATCATACCTATAAAAGGACTTCAAATTTTCGATAAAATATATTAATAACCTTATATTTTTTGCATATGGAAACAATCTCAGGAAGTTCGCAAAGTTCCCCTTCCATGCTGTAAATCCCCTCTACAACCACAATGATCTTTTTCCAGGGTCTATGTGTTCTAGGTTGTCCATCAGCAATGAGTTCCCTCAAGACTTTTTCCAAATGAGAAGGTGCTGCACAGAAAAGTATAATTGAAGCAAAGAACTAGAGAAGGATGGTGAACAAAATATACCAAGAAAATCTGCTGCCCACATTTCAAATAGAGCTGTCTACTTGAGCTTGTTAAACAAACTGTTTGGATGGTTTTTTCATCAAGTTCTGTATGAATAAAGTCATCTGCTGTGGGTTAATCTGTCTCTATAGATCAAGAAAGGTATTTTTTGGGAGGTTTCTTCATAGATGGAATGAGCGTGCTTTTTAATTGGGATAGACAGCTTAGAAAAAAACTTGGCTTTCTGCATAAAGCTCTCTCCTAGAAGCTTACTGAATAAGCCACTTTTTATATCATTAAACTACTACCAAACAATCATGTATAGCTGACTGAATAAGCTGTGAGTCTCATTAAGCTTATTAAGCTGCTAACAAACAGGCCCTTACTGTTATGTTGGAATACGCGAATGGTAGCACCTGAACCTCGAGCACCATTGACAATAGAATTGTGGTTGAGAGAATCACTAATTATCAAGCCTCCCTGTGTAAATTGCCATAAAAAAAGCTTGCGTAAAATGGTTAGTTGTCAAACCACATTGTTGATATCACTCATCGTATAACAAGACATACTTTTGCAATCAAGACAGGAAGGATAGCAGAGTTAGTAACATAGCCCATGCCAGTAACTAAAGCAGCTGGTTTCCTAACAAAATTAGCCACCACGTCCTCCAATTCACAATGCAATGCTGTTGTGCCTGAATGTGTCATTGCATACAAAGATAACAAATGAGTAACAGAAGTTCCTTGGACAGGACATGTTACAAGGGATGGGATGATAATAGAGATAATCAATAAAAAAACAGTAAATAAAAATGTTCAAACAAGAAAAAGGAACCTCCTTCAACACGAGTACTGCAGGTGCTAGCGGAGTATTTCTTCAAACACTCAATTACACGGGGTGTGCAATATTCATCTGCTGCAGCAAAGCCAAGGTAATTGTATGACCCCAAGTTAAGGCACCTACTAGTTTTTGTAGTCCGCCTGCCAAAAACATCTGAAATTATCTAGCATCTTTAGGATGGGGTACTTGAATCAAAAAGACAAAGTCATGGAATATATAATAGCATCTATTGGTAAATGCCATTTCATTTGAAAATTAAAGAAGGAACCAAAATGTTAAAACAATTTTTGACAGCTTAAGCTGAATGCACATCCAACACCCACTTCAGTGTCTTGTTATTATCATAGGAAATACGCTCCACCACATCAAACCAAGCATCAGGAGGGCTCGATATAGGCCGTCCAAAACAATCCTACATGTACATGGTAAGAACAAAGTTTTAGTTGCTCATGCACTAGAGATCAATGCGAAATCCAAGCAACCAAATCACTACACTATAGCTAAACTAAAATCAAGAGTTGTATGATTCAGTATAAGTGATCTCTATATCAGGCGAATCATTCTACAGATTTTAAAAAAATTATTCACACCAAATCCTAACCCAAACTTCTTTGTCAACCTCCAACTCAACTCCAAATAGTTAACAGGGAAAATAGCACAAATGACCAAAATACAATGGTGTATTTAGGGAAATAACCAACTTTTTAAGTATTTAAGCAAATAACCAATACTTTCACTAAAATGTTCCTCCAACGTTGGCTAAATGGACGTAGGACTCACGTGGTCTAACCCTTCTGAATCTGGCCCATTGAATAAACAGTCCAATAAGAAATCGATACATTTTTGCTAAGATCCCACCACTTACACATTTTTCAGCATTTTCGCCAACAGCCTCTTAAGTTGGCGAAATGCATAAAACATTGGAAAAATGAATGGACAAGTACCTATTTTTTATGACATGTGGATCTGAAGTCAGCATTTAGCCAACGTTGGAGGAACACTTTAGAAAAGTACTGATTATTTGTGCAAATACTCCAAAAGTTGGTCATTTCCTTAAATGCACCATTGTATTTTAGTCATATGCGCTGTTTTCCCTAGTCAATAATTGGATTTAATGACCAATCTAAATTGAATATTCTTTCAGACGAAGGTATGATATGACATAAATGGACCAAAAATGAGTATACACACACAGACTTCATATAAATAGAAAAGTAAAAAAAATGACTTGCTTTCATGGACGGACCTAGTTCAATGGTTACGGTGGCACGCGCCGCCATTTCATTCCTTCGCCGTAGTGTAAAAAAATTTAGGTTCATGAAAAGTGCAACCTTATTGATTTGTTGTGTGTTACCATATATATTTTGAAACTACAATAAGAACACAAGTTTTATTTGGTAGAGCTGGTTTTCAAGGCTCTCTTCCACCCAAGTTTTCCCATTAGTGTCATTTTCTTAGTTTTTAGCTTTAAATTTCAAATTTATTATGTTTTGAATTTCTTTTCTATAATATAAGACTTGAACACAATAACTCATATATTAAAAGTAATGAAATAGCCACCATGCCAGTTATGATGTATTTGTTTTTTTTATAATTAAACTTAACGCTGACACTACTTAATTTTTTTTTTTTTGAGTCTATACCTATACCTGTTTGTCTGGCTTGTTTTTGGTTTCTAATCTTTCGTCTTCTTCAGAAAGTGTTCATTTGATGCTTGTATTTGAAAATTGTTTTTTATAATCTGCATGGTGCGTGCACACTCTTACTGCATTGATCAATCTACCCGCAACTTTTTAAGCATCTCTTAGTCATGTCTTTGTTTATTTAACCTCATTAATTTATGGAACAACAAACAAATCACACGAACCAAAATCAAAGCAGCAAAATATTTTACCTGAATGCGAAGATAGAGACGACGGATGTAAAAGTCTTCAAGCCCTAAGCAGATCGGTGCATATCCCTTTTAACACATCACATGATAGAGTGATGAACTGATGATTGCTAGTATAGTAATAACATCGGTGAAAGAAATACACATAGAGAGAGGGATGATAATGACGATGACGATGACGGACCTGAAGATTGCCTGCTTTCCACCAATCGATAAATCTTCTGAAGAAATCACGCAATTGGCCAAAAGCGAAGAGTAATCCGTAGCTGAAATAGGTTGTCAATGCTGTCAAATAAGGAACTGTGATCATTTTGGCCGGAGGGATGGATCCTGTATTGTTGAAATAGAAATGATCGGCGGGAGACGGATCTCCGGCGAGATGAGACGAGAAAGAACGGATCGGCGTGAAACAAATCCGATGGCGAGTAGCATTCCTTTGGTTCCGGTGGATCGTGTGTCTTCTACTTTATGCAAATCAGAAGAATGTTCCTATTTTCATGTCATTGCCATCTTTTTCCTTTTTGAGTTGATTATAGATTTAGTCCCTATAGTTTAAGGTTTTTACTAAATTGATCCCTAAGCTTTATTTATTACAAAAAACCTTCCGGATTCAAACTTTTTGTTGGATTTGGCCTTTTGAGCTAATGACCATCCATATTGTCTGTTAACTGTGAGGGCAGTTCTTTCTTTTGGTCATTTTCTTCTGATAATTTTCAAGATCACATGTATCTTCTTTCAACCAACGAATTTAGTTTGGTTCAAGTGAGTTTTAATCACGGAGTTAGTCTCGATAAAGAATAACATCGAAACGGGTCCCTTTGTCGTGAGTGCTCTACATCGCATTTCTCGTCATTGGAGTTCTGGAAAAACCATTTTCTCTTTGTGCATCTTCGACGGGACTCCCCCTAAATCCAAGGGTTTCTTCGATGGGTCTTTTCTGCTTTTTAAAGTTTTGACGTAATTGATTGAATTGAAATAAGAAACAACCAAACTGCGGGACTCATTTGATTTGTGGTTATGGGTATAGTTAATTGGACTGCAGTGTTTCTTGATAATGGGGTGTTTTAATTCCTCTCTGTGTGTTTCTTGTGTTCACATAACAACTTCTTTCAAGAACAAAATCCAGATTAGGGTTATATTCTTTTAGTCTTTTTTTTCAATTTGTTAAGTTTTTGATTTAATGGGTTTTTTTATTATTGATATGGGTTTGATTTAGATTTTTCCTTTATAGGGTTTGATTGTTCATGATGTTTATTATTGAAGAAAAGAAGAATTAAAACACCAAAGGCTCTTTGGTCTAGGGGTATGTGAGTCTAAGGGTTCAAACCTCACAAAAGATGAGAAATGTGTGTGAGTTTATTTATCGTATATAAATATTATATACGTCAAAAAAAATTAAAACGTTAAATAAAAAATAATCATAAAATTACTATTTACACTTGTAATTAACATAGGAGATGTATGAATATTAGAACAAAGGATCAAATACAATAAAAAGTGTAAACCCTGAGGTTTTACGTTATAAATGAAGTTTAAAGAATAATTGCATGAAAACCTTAAACCATAGGGATCAAATCCATATTTTACTCTTATTTTTTTTATTTAAAACGTTAATATTTCGGGAGTGCGTGTTTTTAATAAATGAGTCTCGTACTAGACAATTATGTTATCAGAGGGATTAGATTAAACTATTGTTCTGTCAGACTAGACCAAAACACTGTCATGTCGGTACGAATTGAAGCAGATAAAGTAAATATCCCTTGAGGAATGGTTAGAGCATCAGTTTGAAATCAATCCGCAGGGCAGATCCACTAGTAATGAAATGGTGATACATGCAACTGCTAATATATTCCGCCGTAGTGTAATTTTTATGATGTTTAACAGTGCTATCAATATAGTTCGTTTTGTGCAATCATGAGCATCATTGCTAGAAAATTGAGAGTTAGGGGTCGTCTATCAAACACTTACCCGGTAAGCACTTACCGGTAATATTTAACACTATCATTTACTTCCTGGATAAGATTTTAGTCCACCAAAACGGTATCATATGCAACAATTTACCCGGTAAGCGCTTACCGTGGAAGAGTCGTCGGGTTCACTTACAGGATAAGACTCTTGGTCCTTGTGTCGCTCTTACCGGGTAAAATTCTTGGTTCTTACCATATTCATTCGGTAAGGTAACGTGGTTTGGTGTTCACTTACCCGAGTAAGCGTTTGGTTAACAACCCCTTACATTAACATATCGAACCATAGTTTTCAGTTTTAATGACCAATAATGATAGAACACGAAAACCCAGACTGTAGATACTCGAAGTTGGAACTGATTTCAGTTTCCTAACTCATTTACTTTACATGAAGCCTTTCATTTTCGTCTGCTAAGGAGGCAGTTTCAAATGTTTTATATTGTAATTTGTAACTGTATTAATATATTTATATTTTACATTACGATTATTATTTTGTGATGCCACTGGGAAAAAATTGTAGATCTGTCTGTGTCAGTTTGTATCATGCCTGCCGCAAACGGGTCCAAGTCTTTTTTATATTTAACAAGTTTAACTCTTTGGATGACTTATTTACATTACCATGTACAAATATATAGCTTATCTCGAGCTCGAAATTAATAATTATTGGACTCGTGTCGATGATCGAACACAAAATAAAACTCGTTTAGCTTAACGAGTCGAGTTTCATAATATCAATCTTCGACTCGGCTCGTTCAAAAACTCAACTAAATTTTTCGAGTTTTGAGTCGAGTCATTCGATCATACCCTTATTTGAGTCGAACATACTCATATATTCATGAATCATACGATAAAAAAATATAAAAGTTATCTAACTCACGCTAATAAACAAGTTAATCGATTGCGAATTCGAGCCCTTAACGAGCATCAGCTCGAGCTCGGTCATTCAAAAAAATATTCTAGTTGGAACGCTGATTCGTAAATGTGATTTGGGTTCGATTGGAGCTCAGGCTTGGGTAGAAGCCAGCTTCCACACGACATTGCATTTTCTTTATCTTTTTTCCAACATCAATCTCTACTTTACAATACGGAAATTAATAGAAATATCCATTTTCAGTCTTTGAATTCATCTCTTAGTCATTTTTCTCCCCAAAATTGAAAAATATCACTACTTCTGTAAGTGGCATCTTCTCAATTTTTTTTGATTAATCTGGATATCCAACCCGCTATGCGAGCCGACTAATCCCAAGGCGACCATCTGCTTTGCAGATATCCCGGAGTCACCGCATTTGAACCTCCGTGGCCACAAGAAGATTTTTATTCTTGCTTGGATTTGAACTTGGGACCTCCTGATACTTTTGATCTTTGGATCCAAGCTCAAACCAATCAGACACCACCCTTGTGGTTGGCACCTTCTCAATTTGTGCACGGGTCAAAATGGAAAAAAAGTTTTTGAACCATACTCACAAGTGTAAGGACTAAATATGTAAATTAGGTAAAGGTCCGTGGCTTGCGGAAGTGTTGAGAATAATTTACATATTTGGTTCTTACACTTATGGATCTAGTTCAGAAACTTCTTGTTTTTTACACCTCAATCTCTTCGTAAGTTGTGGAGTTGCTACTTGCAGAGGTAATGACATTTTTGAAATGTCATGAGAGAAATGACTAATAGATAAAATGTGAATGTAAAGAGTAGAAGGAATATATAAGAAACCATGCTCGTTGTCTGGGACGAAATAGAGGAGGAGGCGACGAGGAAATCAGTATAAATGTTGTTTAAATGAAATTTAGAAAAGGTTCATTTAGAATCATCCAAAATATTATATCTGATATCAAGTCTTAGGGGCTTCTTTTCAGTGTTGAAATAGTAATTTATGTCAATTCAGTTGTATATTTAGCATAATAATAATTCAACATATATCAGACAAACGTCTTTATTTGTTTGTGAAAGTTCTGATGTCTGAACTTGTTTTTTGTTAAAAAAAAACAATGCGTTTAAAAAAATCGACCAGGTCAAAACCTGTATAAAAGACTGATTTAACCTTGTGGAGTTCAAGTCTACCAAAGTCCAACTTTTTAGTTTTCAGCTTAGAATTTGGTGTCTTTTTTGTATAAAACTTACAGTCTGGACTTGAACATGATCCCCTTCTATGTAAGGTTAAAGAACCAACCAACCAATCTATATCAATACTATGAAATACTTTAACAGATTTTGTTTTTGTTGTCAAACTGTGTCACAACCCAGAAAAATTTCTAGATCCAATTATGACGTTCGTAAAAATCAAAGGAGCTGTTTAGTAGTTGCTGAATAGTTTAGTGTAAAATAATTAAGTGATCAAAATGATTAAGATGCTCTAATGATATAGTGCAAAATGAAATGTAATTATTTGGTAATTGTTTACAATGAAATTAGGGCGTTGAATGGTTAATGAAGGTCAAGGATGCAAAATCATTCAGATGATTTTAGAACCATTAAGTGGTTATTTGTTTACTATTAATAGTTTCATTAAAAGGCAATATCTGAATCGTTAAGAATTGAATCTTGTTTGACAAAAAAAATGTATGCATCTTAATGATTCTAAAATTTTCTGAATGATTTTGTATCATTGACCTTTCTTAACCATTCAATGCCCTAATTTCATTGTAAACAATTACCAAACAATTATATTTCATTTTACATTATATCATGAAAGCTTTTTAATCATTTAATCATTCAACACCAAATCATTAAACAACTATCAAACAATCTTTAATGGTTGATTAATAACTAGTTAAAAACCCAATGTTTTAAATATATTATAAGTCCCGAGTTTTAGGAGCTAACCAATAACCGTTTGTTGCGTGTCTCTATCCAATGTGTCAATCTCTGCTTGAATGGCGGCCAAAATACAACATAAATCTAGGAGGGTCAAAGTCAAACATAAGGTTGCTAAAGCCCAAAGCCATGCATCACCTCCAATTAAATTAAAGAATAAACTCCAAATTTGATTCATATATATATAAAAACCATTTTTTATGTATTAAGTATTGTTTATTGATGCATATTCTTTAAAATTCAAGATTACAAGAAATTGTACATATATATAATTTATTAAAGCTTTATGTTTGAATTCATATAACTAGCTGAAGATAAATATAATCAAATACTAGATAAGTATCTTATTTTAAATATAAAAATATAAAATATATTTAAAATAATTATTGAATTCTAACAAACATATTAATTATTATTTTTATAAAAGAATTATATTATTGAACCAAAAATAAGTGACTTCATTATTAAATCTAATTAAATTATAATAAAAACATAATTAAATAAATTACATAAAAAACAAGAACTTTAAATATTTAATTTGATACTAAAATCATATAATTTTTTTCGAAATTTATTTGTACCTTCGAATTTATATTTATATTTAAAAAATAAAAACATTATCGTTTTTTCAGTATCACATTAAATCATATTATAATATCGACCGAGACAGAATAAAAAAAAACATTAAAAATGAGATTATCTCGCTGCATTGTGCGAGTACCCTTCTAATGTGTGTGTGTATATAGGGGGGCATACCACAAGCTTAACGTGGCGTAAGAGACAAACCTTGAGTTACGATGCATCATGGCGGCTGTTGCGATTAGCCTTTTAGAACACAGGACCAAAATCGTAAAATCGATTTTGAATGGGTAAAAAAAAAACAGATAAAGGGACAAAAATGCCACCCGTTTAATGGAATTTTTAAACAACCATTAGAGGGAATGACCAACTTCGAACGTCTTTACAAACCACGATTGCCATCTTGTAATTTCGAAACTACACAGATAAAAAAAAAACGTTATTTCCAAAAAACCACAATTTCCAAAAAGCCCACAAGGAACAAATTTGTAATTTACTATAAATTATAAATCCACATTTTAATAATCTACAATAATTTTGCCACTCCCAATGGATCTTGTTTCTTGCCTCTATACAAGCCATGCTTGTAATTTTTTATTTAATTATTAAAAAATTCATTGGATAATACTTTAAGTAAATCTTTATTTTTTAATAAATTAATCTGAATATCCAACTTGTTATACGAGCCAACTAATCCAGGATGACCACCTGCTTCGCGGATGTCCCAGAATCATCGCATTTGAATCTTCATGTCCACAAGTAAATTTCTATTTTGGTCCCTTTCGTTTGTTAAAAGTAACGATTTTCTTCGATATTATTTCAAAATTACAAGATGATAATTAGTGATTTGCAAAAAAGAAGTCTGCATTTCGTCATTCCCTCTAATGACTATTAAAAATTCCGTTAAACGATAAGGTATTTTAGTCATTTTATCGACTTTTTTTTTGTGTTTTACCCAATCAAAAACCACAAAAACCAAAATCATAAAATCGATTTTAATTGTATGAAAGAGAAAATGCCGAAAATGCCCCTCCATTTACGAAATTTTTTAGCAGTCATTAAATGGATGGACCAAATCTAGATATTTTTACAAACCACAATAACCATCTTATAATTTTGAAATTGCATAGACGAAAAATATTATTTCCAACAAATCGCATACCAGAATTTGTTATAATTATATCATGAAGTATTGTAATTGGCTAATTTTGTAAGATGTTCATTTTTGGTCACTTATACATTTTTTTTATCTAGTTTTATTAAATATGATTTATTTATTAATCAGCTTAACAAACATATCTTTGTTCTAAAAAATGGGAAAATTGCATGAAAAAGTAATGCACTTTAACTTGATTCATATTTTGAGTAACATACTTTCAAAACTTCTATTTTGGTATCTAAAATGTAAAATTTTAAACATTTAAGTACCTGGAGTAACCGATTGAAAGCTAATTTTAGATTAAAAAAAAGGACTAACTTTAGATTAAAAAAAGTCATGTCAATAACCACGCCAGTAAATAATACTGAGTTGGATACCACAACACTCGCCACATCAACATAATAACCGGTTAATGTTTCAACTGGATACTTAAATATTTACAACTTTACACTTTAAAAACAAAAATGAAAGTTCTAAATATACGTTATCTAAAATAAAAAATAAGTTAAAGTATGTTATTTTTTTATTTAATTTGTAAAAAAAATAGTATGAAGTTGCATCGACCATTGTACAAGAAATTAAGGGAAAGGTACAAGTGATGAATGCAAGGAGAGGTATGGTCATAAAAAGGCTGCATGTTGTGGTTAGGAAATTGTAACTGAAAAAGTAGCAACCTTTTTGAAACATCCTTTTTTTTGGCAAAAAGCAACAAATCATGGAATATAATCCTCGTAAGTTGTTTTGTTATAATCACCACCTTTTTGCATGTGATCACACTCCCTCCTTCCTCTATCCCTTTCTAATTCTACACGCGGCCATTTATTAATAATACATCTTGTAAATTGTATGAAAAAATAACGTATTTTAATGGTAAGTGACATAACAAAGATCAAAAATCTTACCTGTATTGTTTGTCATGTAAGAGACATTTAGGGGCTGTTTACGAAATGTTTATTCGGGTAAGTGAACACCAAGTTAGATAACCTTACTGGTTGAATATGATAAAGACAAAAAATCTTGCTTGGTAAGAGAGAGACATTGACCAAAAGTCTTATCTGGTAAGTGAGAGCGACGACTCTTACCACGGTAAACGCTACAATACCGTTTTTGGTGGACTAAATCATACCCGATAAGTAAATGATAATATTAAATTTTATCGTTAAATATTTATCAGTAAATATTTGATAAACAATCCCTTACAAACAACCGATAAACATTTGATAAAAATTCTTTTTTTATTTCTATTTGTGAGCGAAAAATTTAACATTGAATTGAATTGAAGACAATTTCCCTTGCAATAACTGGCCCGTTGCCGATCTTTATCACTTTCTTGATGCGCGTGAGTTTACTCGCATCACCTGCGCGTGGGTCTTTCTTTCCACGCGTCTACATTATTTCGTATATTCCTACTTTCATCTTTCTTCTTTCTTCTATCTTCTCACACATCCCCCCGCGCGCGCTCTCTCTCTCCATTTCACCCTCTGCAACGGCCAAATCGCCGGCCATGAACCCGCAGGAAAATGAAGACGACGACGCCATGGAAGCTCAAACTCTCCAAGTAATCGAATCTCTCATCCATTCCATCTCCCACACTCAATCCTTCAAAGGAAAATGGTCTCTAATGGAAACAAAGCTTTCCGATCTCAAAACTCAACTCTCCGACGTCTCCGACTTCCCTCCTAACTCCATCTCCGCCGACCTCCGCCATGCTCTCTTCCGTACACTTTCCGACGCCCTATCACTCTCCCTCACCTGCCACAGCCCCAATCTCCCCGCCGGCAAACTCAAAACCCAAAACGACGTCGACTCAATCTCGGCGAAACTCGACAACCACATCAGAGATTGGGAGGTTATAACCAGAAGCGGTGTTCTTCACGACGACGTCGTTCCGTCGCCCGTCTCGAGGGAGTCCGTACGAGTTGAGTCGAGAAATTTGATAACTCGATTGCAGATCGGTTCCGGTGAGTCGAGAAACTCGGCGCTCGACTCGCTTTTGAGGTTAATAGGAGAAGACGATAAGAATGTTATAATCGCCGTCGCTCAGGGAGTAGTTCCGGTGCTTGTACGCCTCCTGGATTCCGGATCTTCGCCGGAAATTATCGAAAAAACGGTTACCGCAATTGCTAGGGTTTCAACCATCAATTCGAGCACAAAAGTATTAATGGCGGAAGGTCTATTGTTGCTCCATTATCTCATTCGAGTTCTCGATTCCGGCACCGGAATCGCCATAGAAAAAGCTTGCATTACGCTTCAAGCTTTAACTCTTTCAAAAGAAAACGCAACAGCAATTGGATCTAGAGGTGGTATTTCATCGTTACTCGAGATTTCTCAGTCCGGTACACCGAGTTCACAAGCAGCGGCCGCCGCCGTTCTCCGGAATTTAGCCATTTTTTCCGATACCAGAGACAATTTCATGGAAGAACACGCCATCTCTGTACTTCTAACTCTAGCTAGCTCAGGAACTGCAATGGCCCAAGAGTATTCTATATCCTGTTTAAGTAATCTCGTTAAGGAAGACGACGATATGAAATTGTTAATTGCTCGAAAAGGTGGAATCGGAAGTCTGAAAAACTTCTGGGATTCCGCCATTGTTGGCCGGAGTTTAGAGGTCGCCGTTGAGTTCTTGAGCAATTTAGCCTCCGATCAACGTCTGGTCGAATTCATCATTTTAAACGATTTCTTAAATCGGTTAATTATCGTTTTAAATTGTGGGGTTTTAGGGGTCAGAATCCATGCTGCAGAAGCCATTTTCAAGATTGGATACAACACAAAAACCAGAAAAGAATTAGGCGAAAATGGGTTCATTCCGCCATTGATAAGAATGTTAGATGGGAAAGCCATTGAAGAAATCGAAGCTTCATCGAAAGCGTTATCGACGATCTTGATACACCCAGAAAACAGAAGGATTTATAGGAAGGAACAAAAAGGGATAATGAGTGCTGTTCGTCTCTTAGATTCATCAATAACGAATCTTGATAAGAAATATGCTGTTTCGATTCTAATGTCTCTAACCCATTCGATGAAATGCCGCAAAGAGATGGTGAAATCAGGGGTTTTGTTGCATTTACAGAAGCTTGTGGAAATGGACGTTGAAGGTGCAAAGAAGTTGCAGGAAGTCATTAATGGTCGGAAGTTATGGGGTGTTTTCAAAAGATCACCAAGAACACCATGATTCTTGAAACAAACCTTCATGTATGTAGCAAATCACACTTCTTGATCTTTACTTTTTCTTGATTTTGATCTTGGTGTTCTTGTTTTTGGGGAAATCGCATAAAATAGGGAAACCCATCAATCAAATTCACTTCAGGGGTGTTTTGGGATTGCCCGTGAAAACAACTTATTGACTTATTTCGGTGTGGTATCGGTAATAAGCACTTACAACTTATACCGGTGTCAAACTGGTAATAAGAAGTTTTTGAAGAAGTTAAACTATTCTAACTTATAATAAGTTGATAAGGACTTTTATAGAAAAACATAAGTTGTTTCAAATAAGTAATCCCAATTAGTCAGATGCGATAAAACTGATTTCTACAAAAAATTGAATCTTTACGGAAAAATTACGCAAATATGCAAGACATTTGTGTAAACTCGGCCTAAGAATATAACTGAAACGTGGCTAAAAAGTGAAGTCGAAGAGATTGACTATTTTGTTTGATTTCTCATTAATTTTTGGTGGTGGTTGTGCTATTTGTTCATACATTTATTGGTAGGGAAGTATTGAAGTAGATGCAATTTTTATTAGTGTTAAAAAGGGTTGATTGTGGTCAATATTTGTTTGGTGACCTAACATAGACTAAAGTTGTAAGTTTTTCTACCAAAATTGACTTAATGACATTGACTCTATCTTTGCTTTCATATGATGAAATGTTAGTTAGGTTCTTTACAAAATGCTTACCTGTAAGTGTTTACGGATAAGAGTCACCACTCTCACGTTGTCTGGTAACATTCTCGGCCACATGGGCGGACCTGTGAGGGCCTGAGAGGGTCCTGTGTATCCGCTCTACCGATTCTTGCAATTTTCTTTTGAGGTATGAAATGTGCTCTCACTAAACTTTGAAGAGTGCTCCGGAAGATGAAACAAGAAAACAGAAAAAGTCACTTGAAATCAATCAAAAAACTTAAAAAATCCCTTGAAATTGTGGAATTTAGCTAAAAATATATCAAACGACTATGCGGGCGTGTCTCTTACCCAATAAGAATATACTAAGTAAGCAGGGGCAGACCCACATGCATAGATACGGTGGCACGGGCCAATGCTACATAGTTCCGTCGTAAAAGGGGAAAAAATTACGTTTTTGAAGGCTGTCACTATTTTATTTTGTTGGGTGCCACCATATAGTTTTTAAAATTGAAATGTAAACACAAAACTTTAATGGTAAATGCTTCTACCGTTGTACAAAAGGCATAGGTTTGAGTCCTACAGTCGGTCAAATTTGTTGTTTTTTAACTTAAATTTTGATCTTTTTTATACTTTCCATGTTTTAAAAAAATACATGTAAACCGAACTCGAACATGTGTAAGGCAAGGAACTAACCAAAAGATTTATACTAATATTACGAGAAAAGAAAATAGATATTTTTTATAGTCAAATTGTAACATCACTTAGATTTTACCACAAGAGTGGTGCCAGATTGGTTTGAGCTTGACTCCAAAGGTCAAAAGTGCCTGGAGGTCCCAGGTTCAAATCCAAGAAGGAACAAGAATCCTCTTGTGGCCACAGATGTTCAAATGCGGTGACACCGGACTACCTGCAAAGCACGTGGTCGTCCTGGGATTAGTCAGTTTGCATAGCGGGTTGGATATCCAGGTTAATTAAAAAAAATTCTAGGTTTGTCTCTGCAGATAAAAGTCTTTTTTCTCACTTTTTTTTGAAGTATATATAATATTTATATACAACAAATAGAACAAATAAACTTACACACCCTTCTCTACTTTGATGAAGTTTGAACCTTGACCTCCTAAAAGGCTAAAGACTCACATACCGCTAGGTCAAAGACCATTTGATCTTTTTTTCTCACTTATCAGATGAAATTTTTGGTCATTGTAATGTTCACGACATCTGATAAGGTAATTAAGTCATTAAATGCTTATCTGGTATAAGTTGTTGAGTATGACAGCTTATTGCACAATACATTAAGACACATGGTAAAATATTAGATTTGATGAACAATGGCATGTGGTTTGTTCTTTAGATTTTGTTCCATGCCAATATTTTATATTCCCGTAGAAATTCTTTCTGTTTCATTAATCACAAATTCTAGAAGCGGATCCTTCACGAAAATAGGCGCCTTTTTCCTTTCGGGGTATCTGAGAATATGTTGAACTCATCGTATTACTTTTAAAAAGTGCCATTTTGGAGAGAAATGATGATCCAGAGGAGAAATGGTTTAAGTCTAGCTGATGTAAGACTTTAACACACTCTCTCGAACAAATAGCTGGACGGAAATAGATTTGTCTCAACGTGTAGAGAGGGGACAAGACAGTTGAGATGAGTATAGAATGCCCCAGAGCCCAGAGCGTCGAGTCCTTCGACTCTGATACCATATGAGAATATGTGTAATTTCATCAGATTTCTTTCCAAAAGAGTCCTTTTTGATGAGAAAGTCGGTTCCAACATATAAACGAGAAATTGTTCAAGTCTAGCTGATTTGAAAAGTAGGTTGATTTGTATACATCACACCTTCAAGACTCCACATTTGAACAAGATATATCTGATTCTTTTGATTTGATTTATGCATAATTATACAAAGAGTAAACTACAATTTGGTTCATGTGGTTTGTTGGAAATAACTATTTTTGTATCTCTACAGTTTTAAAATTACAAGATAGTTATCATGGTTTGTAAAAACGTCTGTATTTAGTTTTCGTTTCTAACGGCCGTTAACAAGTTCTGTTAAACGAAAGACGTTTTTGTTCTTTTATCGATCTTTTTTTTACCCGATTAAAATCAATTTTACGATTTTTGGTCATTGTGGTTTCTGGTTGTGAATAAGACAAAAGAAATCGAATAGAGAAAGAAAAATCCCTTTCATTTTATCGGAATCTTTTTACGACCATTAAAGGGAGGGACCAAATCCAGACTTTTTTACAAACTTAAATGACAATCTTTGTAATCTTGAAACTACATGGACCAAAAGTGTTATTTCTAACAAACCAGATGAACCAAATTTGTCATTTACTCTTACATAAAATATAGAGTAAATTACATTTTTCGTCCCCATAGTTTGTTAAAAATTATGATTTTAGTCCCTGTATTTTAGAAATTATGATTTTTATTCCTATGGTTTGTAATTTATTATTGTTTTTGTATTTATGATCTACAATTTAATATTGTTTCGGTCCCTATGGTTTACAATTCTTTACTGTTTTGGTCCCTTGTACTTAAAGTAAAAAATTAGTCTAGGGATAAAAATAACAATAAAATATAAATCATAAGAATGAAAATCATAATTCTTAAATTATAAAAACGAAAATCAAAATTATTAACAAATCACGTGGACAAAAATCACAATTTACTCATAAATATATAATATAGTTATACAGTTCACTTCAAGTCGAGAACTTGAGGACATAGTTTCAGATTTTGTTTTATTCTCCGTCCCTTTCGATGCTAATTTTACAGTTTGTTGTGATTTTAAATCATATATCAGATGATTTATAAATTCAAAGTTAAAAGGTTCCATTGGTCAAAGATTTTGAAATAATTTTTTTAACCCAAAACATTTGTTTTTTAAAAGGTGTTAAAGTCTGAAATCTTATTTCATTTCTGATTAATAAGAGATGGTGTTGAAATCTGAAATATGAATCAAGACTGTTTGTTTTTGTAAACTGATAAATTTGTCTTAATTTGTTTAAATTGTTTATTTTATTCATTAAAAAATTATAGTGTTGAATTTATAGATAAATTTATACAATTTCACATATTTATTAATGATCATCACGAAATTTACATCTAAATTATATAATTAACATTCATTTCAATGAAAATATGTCATTAACGGTATTTAACACATTTTAAATCATATTAAAATACATCAATTGAGAGAGGTGATGATCGATTTGGTAAGGACCGATTGAGAGAAATGATCGATTAAAGTTAATCAATTGAAAACATCATTGGTGAGAGTTTGGAGAACAATAAGAGACAAATAAAAAGTTAGTTTACTCTTATCAGATAAGATAAGAGAAGAATAAGACATAAATGCCTTTGAAAAATTGAAAAAACAAATCAGACAAAAAAGACCGATAAAAGGTTTTTTTTTTTTTTGAAAAAACAAAACAAGGCTTTATGGGTTGTTTGACAGTTGTTCAGAATGATTAATAGACTCTCATGATTAATGCAAAATGAAATATAATTGTTTACAATGAAATTATGACTTTTAATGGTTACAAAACCATTGAAAGGATTCTAGAATCATCAAGAGACGGATTTTTTCTTTGTCAAACAAGATTCACCTCTTAACGATTCAGATGCTGCATCTTAATGAAACTATTAAGAGGTAAACAAACAACCTCTTAGACTGCATGCTTTTTAGTAGGAATTAGGGTTGATTTCATAAGGATGAGATGAATGTAATTGAACAAATTGTTGAACACATAATTTATCATTTCCTCTCCACAAAACGAAACCAAAAATGCGAATTTGTAAATGATTTGGTTTTTTGTTTGATTTGATGGATGCTATACAACGTTGTTAGTTTCTTCATGATCAAATTGATTTTTAGTTGAAGAGACTTCGAGAGTGACGACACTGGAACCACACGATGAAGAAGATGAATATGAACTTGAAGCAGGTTTGTAATTCGTATCGTTTCTCGTTAAATCTTGACGTTCCGTTGAATCCGATTTCTTCCCGTTATCATCTTCGATCGGTTTTCGACTTCTTTTGTTCAATAATACATGACACAAAACCCAGTTTCCCATTTGAATCCAAGATTTCTGCAGGTTAAAACAACATCAAAACCAATGAGGGTTATAATATATATATATATATATATATATATATATATATATATATTAACGATAAAATGTAAACCACCCATATTTGTACAAACTTTGCAAACCATCTTGATTCATTCATTTCATTGTTTAATCTTATGAAATTTTTTCATAAAATTGTTTCATATAATATTTTTTTTATAAAGTTGTTTCATATATGGTTATGAAATTTTAATGAAACTGTTTCATGTATTTCTCTAAAATTAATATAATGAAGATGATATTTGCAAAGTAAACCCCATATATATATATATATATA